TGGATTTTCGTCTTTCTTAAAAATATGTGGTGCAGCTGTTTGGCTCAATACTTGCAACTGTCCTAGCTTCTCATGCAGTTCTGTAAATGCATTAGCATCTGAGAGAGTCTAAGCGAAACAACCTCCTTATAATGATTTGGCACATGGAAAGCAGGGCCATAGGAGGGATCCAGCCTCACACTAGTGCAATATCAAAGTTTATTCATCCTTAATTTTGGAAGGAAACATATATACTGTTTTAGACGTGTTCTTTTCTATCCCAGTTACATGTGCCCAAGTTAAGTTAAACAGAATCATCTCTGTTCTATAAGCATGGACTAGTGAGGCTGGAGAAGTTACTGAGGTTGAAAATATGTGAAATTTATATAATGGTCAATAGAGAAATTGCCTGGCATCAGTACATCCTTGGTGGGAAATGCAGCATGCAGTATATGGGTTTAGGAACACATGAGAACATTCTTCTAGATTTCAAATGTAACAGGTTTCTAGTCACTGCCTGGGGCACCACCCCTGTGATGACTCCTCTGCTTCTCAAGACTTCTGTGCCTCATTTAGCCCGATCTTGGTCTCAGCCTACAGATATACACCACCTCAGTTCTCCTGCCAGATGGAGATGCCTCAGAGATCAGATATCAACCTAGGGGATCAAAGATTGTCTTCTACCACTATTGCACTGATGGACAAAGGCATGTCACATAACAAGTGGGGTAGGCATTAAATAAAAGACTATCCCTGAAGGAAAAAATATGACTGCCTTAAGCTTATATTTACCCCCAAATTCTCGAACTGTTTCTTCTACTCATAGAAATGTGGTTGAACCTGATTATGTGTAGGAAGACAATTAAGCACAGGTAACTTTAAGATTTATTTCAAAGAGTACTGGAGTACTCAGTAAGTCGGACACCTACTGGTAACTTCCAAGAGGTTCTGATGCTGGACACAGAGGTATTTGGGGATGGAGTAAAGTGGGAAAGTCTATGAGGACAAGATACCCTCTGCCCCAGTGACAAAGAGCCCAACCTCTGTTTTACTGCTAACCAGATGTTGGGCAAACTACTGACTTTCCCAAGCATCATTTAGAAAAATCATATAGTTAGTGGCTTATGTTGGCTGCTCTGAGTGCTCCTAAGGACAACATATATCCTGAAGATAAGGGACAGTAAGTGTAAAATTATCAATACACAGAAGTGTGTTATGGGTAATATTTAAAAAACAGCGCCCAGTCCAGCTTGTTCCCAGACAGCCACTATTCTCCCACAGCTCCAGCTCTGGACCACAGCTCTGGGTATGTAGAAACATCGGCCCTGACACCCATGAGATGCCAGTGTGGGGGATGGCTCAGCCAATCCACCACACTGCCTCCACAAACCTTGACTGAACCCCAGACAAGACCCACCATGCCTGTGATACCTGGTAGAATGAAGACTCTTAATGCTTAAAGATTATCTAATATTTATATATTTGGAAATGCTCAATTAACAAGATGCCCACACAATTAGAATTATAAACCCAATTACCTAACCTTAATATCTACCTCTTCTAGAGACACTCGGACATCTGCCACCATCTTCTCTTCTCCTCCTCTCTCTTTGTCTCCTCCCCTTCTCACTCCGCCTACCCCTCATACAGCATAATCGCCAAGCTTTATACAAATGTTGTGGGAATATATCCCGCTACAAAGTGTCATAATATGAGAGTCAAAAAAAAAAGAGCTATGTCAGCACAAAGGGATTATCCAAGAAAGTTGAAAAAAAATGAGTTGATTCCTCTTAAAGATTAGTTTGAAAAAATTATTATTATTATTATTATTATTATTATTATTGTTGTTGTTGTTGAAAAATAATGCCACAGAAAATTGGTTGTACTCTTTCAGGGGGTATTAGAAGGTCTTCAAGGTTGTTTTGGTGATGTGAAGACTGTTTAGTTGAGGTGGGGACAGGATTGGTCAGTTTTCTTCAACAAGAAGCTACTATTGTTCCTATTGTAATTAATGATCTTACCGGAAGATAGCTCAAGATCGTATGAGTATTGTGTTTCTCATCAGTTCTCACCTCCTCTTTGTATCTAAAGGCCATCCTTGTTTGAAACACTTACAGCTGTGCACATTAAACTTGTGACTCTCTTTTTTCATAATCCTTTCTATACATATTAGTTAGGATTCTAGTAGGAAGGTGCGTCCCCTCTCCTGTTAAATGTTTGCCTGCACGTATCAGCAAGAACTGGGGACTCTTATTCCTTTCCAATCTCCTCTCTATGCTCTTTTTCTTTTAAAGGTTTCTCCCCAAAGTATTCAGCCTGAATTAAACCACAAGGAAACATCTGGTATACCCAAATTGAGGGACACTGATAACACCACAGACAACACAACAACAAAAATAACTCTTTGGTGCCATGAAGGTCATTATTAGGGCTGTGAATTAAAAGACCAAAGGGACGAGACAATGCCATCATGAAATATCGCACTGGCTCCCAGATTCCATCTTACAGTGGATTTTGCATCAGAAAAAGATATCATTGTGACAACTGGGAAGATGCTAATGAAGTATGTATGCTGGATGATGACACTACTGGATCAGCATTAACTGATTTACATTACATTATGCTTCTGTAAGATGGCAACTTTGGAAGACCTGGGTAAAGAGGATATGAATGTTCTTTGTACTCTTTTTGTATCTGTTTTATAAATTCGAAATCATTTCATAAGTGAGCAGTTAGAAGAAACAGAAAACAACGGACAAAGGAGGGTCTGGCTGAAGGTAAGAGATATCAACATCAAGGAAAATAGAACAGATAATAGTGACTAGTCATTCCAGGCCTAGGTACTTCCTGCCATATGTCCTGTCTGGAGTGAGGTGCCTGAATGGGTTTGGAGCACAATACAGGTGTGTTTCTTCTCAAGAAGTCCTTTATATCTTAACATCCTCAATATGAAAATTACCCTCAGGAGCCTCGGAACACCCTCTGTAGCTGAGACATTCATTGGAAAAATCAATTATAGCCTAATTACCTCAGGAGGTTAATTAGCCTCCTGTAATTTGGGTGTCCTCTGTGAAGCCAGCAGCCTGTCAGTCCTCAGTCTGTGAACGGGGTGGGTGGTGGAGGCAGAGGCTTCTCTGTGAGCAGCTTGCCTTGGGGCTTATAGAAGCTCCAGCCAGGCTGAGAGCAGACAGACACCAGGCTTTGCAATCCCAGAGCCTGTCGAGGTAGGAAGTGCTGATGACAGCATTTCTCCTGATTTAAGTAAGCTCCAGACACCACGGGTATTGACAGGCACAGAGACTGACAACCATAGCAGAAAGACAGATTGCAAAACATGAAACAATGTAAGTTTTCAGGCCAGAAGTTGCCAAAAACCACTACAACGGCTAAGACACAGAGCTTCAAAGATTTGAAGATGTTAGCTGGATGAGGGCAAAGGCTGAAGCTTGACAGTATGTCAGCACTCTTTACAACATTCTCTTCCATTGAGAACGCCAGCAGGCATGGTCACTTGCCACATCTGAATGTAAGCTGGCTTTAAAGCCACTTCCTGTTTTGGGGCTTGTATAAGTTTATCCTGTTACAGAACAGTGCCATAATGCAGCCCCTCCTTCCCCTCCACATCAGCTGCACTCTTCTCCACAGACTCAACGGACTTCCTTCTCATGGTCTTGTGTTCAATTCCTTCTCTGGAACTTTGGGGTCTAAACTTGGGTATTTGAGAGTTGGAGGACTTGATTCAGAACCCCCTCACATGGAGGGGTCACATGTATCTGGTCTATGCTAACAATGGAATGCGTATTAATTATTGTATAGTAAAATATACTTACTGCATATTGTATACTTATCGTATATATTATATACTTATTGTATATTGTAGTACTGTAGCATTGTAGTGGTGTTTCACCTTAACTAATGTATTGTACTATGCAATATACAATATGCAAAATCACGGAGAATTCTTAAGTAACTTTAAAATGAAATCTGAGCTTACATGCTAGGACAGCCTCTAATCAGCTATGTGAATTTGGGGCCTCATTTTCCTCCTCTGTGAGATGGATCTGAGGAAAATTTAACTTCTCACAGTTGCTATAAGAATTAAATATATCGAAGCTGAGCATGACCAATAAGATATCTGCTCCCTGTTCAAACTGTCCATCTGCTGGTTATAACAGCCCGTGGTCTGGAAGTTTTTGTTTTTCCTTAAACTGAACTGAGGCTCTAATGTCATCAGAAAGGAATTCAAATTTCCCAATATTTCATGACACAGGAATGGCTTTGGGGAAAATGATACAGGGACAGGGATAGTGCACCAGCTTAGGAAAGATGAAGACAGAAATAGTTTCTTTCTGAAATTGTAAGTTTTTCAGATTGCCATGGCACCTGCCAAGGCCCTTGGTCTTAACAGGGAATGCGCAATTTAGATTCAAACAAAACTGACAGTTATTGACTGGGGAGCAGTTGACAGCAACCTGAGTTAGACACAAAGGTGCCTCTCCAGACCACTCACACCCAAGTAGCTGTTCTTCCTCTCCATATCACCAATTCATCTTCCTTTGCAATTTGCTATTTTGAAAACATCATTTTTCCTAGTATAATTAATTACTTCATTTATTCCCATGAAAATGCGCAAAACAAATTGGGACCAAGGCAAAACACTGAGAAATAGCATGAAGCTAACATATGGTCTCTCTACTTCTGCAGTTTCCAATTTTGCACTTCTGAACTACTTATAGTTCTCCAGATAGCACCTCTGCCGAGAAAGGCTGAAGCTGCTTTCTGAAATGTTCCTTCACCATGGAGTCATATCTTGTCCCTACCTGGCTCAGACAGCCTAGCCATGCAGCTGGGCTACAGCAGGGCACAGAGCACGCTCCTGTCATCTATGCCTGTTCCTAGTCCATACACATAGGACCTTCCATCTCCCCATCAAATATTCCCTGTCCAGGAATTCATCCATAAGTATATTTCTTTCTTAGGCCCCTGGCTGTCCCCTTCTCTTTTGGAAGCTGGAGACTTACCTCTGTGATTTGGGGGTTGGAGCACTTGACATTGTGGCTGGACCAGTCGAGCCAGGGGCTAGAAGTACTGGGGCAGTGTTGGTGGAGGGTACATCTGCGCTCACCACTGCACCAGCCACACTCGAACTTGTGGTCAGCCTTGAGGCAGAGACCACAGCTTTCCCGTTGGGCTGCACACTTGTAGAGATGAACTGCAAAGAGAGGGGGTCGTCAGAGATAGGACTGCAGAAGCTCACCACATACCTTCCGTTTGTAGGTGCAACAGATCTACCCCAACCACAGACAACATGGGGGTCACCACCCTGCAGGAGCAAAGCATGGAGGGTGAATAGGGTGCCTAGGTGGTCATCTAGAGGCACAGCAGAAAAGATGTTCAAGGTTTCTGCTCCTGGACTGAATCAGATCCGTGCTTTTAATTGCGGCTTCTCTACTTCCCATCAATGTGACAAAGTATTTAACCTGTCCGAATCTTGTTTTCCTATATTTATCATGGAGATATAGTTGGTTGTGGGGAGGTTTGAAAGAGATGTTGTACAGTGAGTACAGAGCAGTGCCTGTGATGCACTAGATGCTACATACACACCTGTTATCTTTTCTTTGAACTCTAACAGTACTCTTGAGCTGTCTCTCCCAAATGAGACATATGGGCTCATTTCTTCATTGCAGGTAAAACTGAATCAAGCTCAAAAAGATGTAGTGGCTTTCTCATCTTACTATGGGTACTGGTCTCAAGCTTCCTGTGCTGCTGATGTTGGGTCCAGGGAAGACAGGAATCTCAATTGGCACCCTGGAAATTGTGTGGGTCTGGCAACAGAGTCAGCTAGTGCTTAAAGAAAGTCTAAGTGGCTAAGTAGGAAGCATGGTAGCAAGGAAAGCGTGATCCCACCCTCTTCCATTTTGCTTTGATTTTTCTCTAACTAACTTGGAGGCACTAGAGGAACAAGCCGTAAAGTGTAGTTGTGTCGTGAGCTGACGGTTTAGTCTATTCTTTTTAGTACTGAGAATTCAGAGATCCAGTTCTCCAGATAAATATAATCAGCTGACGGATTCAGCTTCTAGAAGTAGTCCCATCTGTCCATGTGTAAGCTGATATTTCATTATTATTACTTGATAACTACATTCAACTACGTGTTCTAAGCCGTGTAGAGATGCTTTAGATATCTGTGGTTATGTGTAAATACTACATCAGTGGATACGGGCGTCCTGGGGGTTCCTAGAAATAATCCTATGGTGGCTAATGAGTGATGACTCACAAAGTCACTTCACCTTTTCCAGCCAAGTTGTCCTAAGCTTTTGTGACCTGGCTGTGTGCCTCTGCTGGAGGTCAGGTGTATACCCAAGAGGAGAGGCACTTTACACTTTTCTATAGCACTCCAGGACACCTCTATTCTGTCTAGTTTCCCAATCCTAGCTACACAGACTATTCACCACTCGAAGCCCTAAATACTCTTATACCTGTGGTCTCCAAGGCACAGGATAAGCAAAGGAAACCTGAAATTGAATAAGTGCTTGTAAAGAATTTACAAATCTGAATTATATAGTCTTTAACCATAAGTTTCTTAGATCCTCAGTAAGACCTTGGGCAACAGGCTTCCCTTCTTCCACGGACTGTTGTGGAGACAGTAGGATGTAGAGAGGTGTCACTGTTAGTCTGAACTTTCATGGTTCAGGGAAAAGCACCAGCAATGGAACTTGGATGGCTGAGTTTGAGAGCCTGGGTACTTAAACTCAGTGGCCCACTAAAGCCGATTCATAGCAGCTTTCTCTGATGCTGAGAATCTGGTGGACACAAGTAGGAAGGTAAGCTGAGGCTGCTTGTACACTGATAGAGCTTTGTAGATGTCAGAAAAGTCTGTTGTACCAGTCTGGACCTGATGGCTATTTTCCTCCAAGTTCTGGGTGCAACCTCTGGGATTTAACTGATCTAACTTGGCAAGGAAAATATCTGTTTTTTAGTGGTGGAAAAAAAAAACTCTAGTCTAAGGACAAGTAAACATTATAAACTACCTGGACTGAAATCCTTCTTGCAGTCTAGGCTACATTGACTTTAATGGTGTACCTGGGACAACAACCTGTATTCTATAGATGCTGAAGCACCTACAGAACCTGCTTTCCCCTTCACTGCCATCTGCTGTGTGTGTACTAGACTGCACGCCAGCTCTGAAGTCAGACTATCTCAGGACTTACCATATATCTCAGCTTCACCATCGATAGGATAGGAATAATACCAGCACACATTTGGAGTTACTGAGCTAAGTAATAAAAACAATTTCAAATGGATTGCCTAATGAGTGCCTTATATGACAAGTGTTAGTAGTTGGGTCATTCTGAATGGCAGGCCTGAGGGTGGACCTCAGTTTTGAATGAGTATGATGTGAGCTTACAGGGCAAGAGCCTCAGAAGTTCCTCCTTGCTCTAACCCACGCCCACTTTCTGAGCTTCTCCGCTCCAGCTGTGAACCTGAGTTAGCATGCTGTTTCCCCACTGGTCTCAGGACCAGAGCCTAAGACTTACAAGTCTTCTTTGTGCTGTGACGGTGACCAGGGCTGAGACTGTGGGAAGGAGAACCTGAGTGAAAGCACTATCTCCATTTCTAGGGAAGCTGTCAGGACACTCTCTCTGCTGTTCCCCTAGGTTAGGTTCCATAGATACTTCAAAGCCACCAGGAACCAGTGAAGAGTACACACGAATGGCCAGACATCTTGTGGATTCTCTGGCTGTAATAACACAAGGCTCCCAACAAGAGCCCTTTGATGGCTTCAAATGTTGCTTTAGGAGTTCCCCAAAGAACTCTGCTGGCAGAGGGAGTGTGCTATTCAAGGCACAGCAGCGGCCTGCTCTGATCTCTCCAACCCCAGCCTTTCCCAAGGTCATGAAAAGATCAAACTTGCGCCCAGAAGCAGTTGCTTACCTTTCAGGTCCTGAGGGTTGTCAATGATGAAGTTGCCGTTCCACACCACAGCAAAGTCCACTGCTAGGTTGCTGATGTCCATGCCATCATACTGGTACTACAGGGACAGGATAGGAGCAAGCACACATCTCTCAAGGCTCTCTCTGTCACAGGAAGCCAGAATGCAAAGCAACTCCTCATGCTGCCTAAGGAGGCCCTTATGACACCTGATTTCTAGTCAGTAAGGCCACCAGGAGCCAACCTCAGCCTCTGGCTTAGCCTGCAGTTCTTTCTGAAATCTGAAAAGGCTTGGATCTTCATTTCCTTCTGCTGCTGAATCCGTCAGCTCTAAACACAGGTGCTGAAGCCCCTTTCTGTGTATTGGTTGTGTCTGTAACTCAAAAGGAATGCCACTTCCTCCCTACAACAGCCAACCTTTGAGTTTACCCTTGTTCCTTTAGTCATGGTTCATTTAGTTAGTCTCTCCCAGTAACATGGCCCCTCCTCACACACATATCCCCTGCTTCCTCCAAGCCTCGGACTCTTTATGTTGCCATTTTCTGTCTTTACTATGGCACTTTCCAGGAACTACAATGCATTCTTTTATGCGTGCCTTTATTCTCTCTCGAGTCCATGTGTGTGAGAACACAAAGTTAATGTCCTCACTGTTCTCTCACACCTAGTAGCTATAATAGGGCATGTGGCAACAGTTGTGGAATGGTTGGTTGGTCTGTCTCTTAGGTATATGGGATGAGGTTTTGATGTGTTTCTGTGCATATGTGCATACACATGTATGTGCATATATGTGTGTGCGCATATGCATGTGGAGACCAGAGGTTGAGGCTGGGTATCTTCCTTAGTCATTCTCCTATTTTCTGAGATTGGGTTGGAGTTCAGAGGTCTTGCTACACTCACTGCCCAATGGGATCCAATGGCCTTCCACCAGTCCACACCCAGCACTGGGCTCACAGTTGTGAGGCTTTGTGACCAGCACTTTTACATGGGTATGGGGATCCAAATTCAGGGTCTTATGATTGGGTGGCAGGTACTCCGCTGACTGTGCTATCTCCTCAGCCTCCTCTTCTTCTACAGATAGGCTTTACCTGGATTAGTGTCTAAGAAAAAAAGGGTTCATGTCTTCCTGGGTTTTTCCTAGCAGGAAAAAGAATGCTCCCATCAGGGTCCTAGTCTCCTGCTCTGACCTCACAGAGACTTTAAAGCCCTTCCCAACCTCTTGGGTGGTCCAGTTCCCACTGTGCCTCACTTAAGTTTCCTGAGCAGTCCCTCTTTATGTCTGCCCATTTCTAGCCATTGGCTTAGCTCTGGAGAGCAGGTTACCGCAGCCCTCCAGCCCAGCCTTCCCTTGCCTTCTTCCTTTGTTGCGCTCTCTTTCTCAGTCTGGCTTCCTGTGCACTTGGCACCGATTACAAATTCCATCAAATGCTTGTGACCCCAGAATCTGACAGCTCCCTGATAAGAGGCCCAGATTCCCTTTATCTCTCCCAGGCGAATTAGCTTTCTTCAACACCTTTGTCAAGCCCTTCATCTCTGAGCTGACCCCCCACAGTCAGAGACAGGGAGTTGGCAGATAAAAAGATCTTCTCTGGGCTGAAATTATAATTAAACACCTCGTGCTTTCTGTCCACCATTCTGGGCAGGCTTAACCCTTGTGGCTCCTAAAATGCTGCGTCTCCTCCCTCTCTTCCCACCCTTTCCCGTCCATCTTCATCTCAGAGACGCCCTCCAGAATCCTCACAAATTGAATGTGGATAGGGTACTGGGTGGGGCTGGTTCTTTTTGGCAGACGTTTTCCCAATGGCAAAACTGTGTTCTTTAACTTCAGAAGGGTCCCCCAAATCTCAGCTTCTACCATTAAGGTTCTCTTGGGGGCTCTCTCCTCTGAGACCATGGCTCAGGGTGCTCATAGGTTTTTCTGTCTCCAGTAATAAAGATGCTGCTTGTGATGCCACATGATCTAAGGCCTTGTCCTATGTGTGAGCTGCTTACCGAGCTGTTTTGGCACTGCACGCTGGAACTGTTGAAACGCAGGGCAGGGACCCGGTGGACAGCCCCTTGAATGCTCAGCACACACTCGTAGCCTCGCTGGCCAGACTGGGGTTGGGGCAGGTTTCGAGCCTTAAGGGTGATTGGTTTCACTTCCCCAACTGGGATCAGAATCTCCTCCGTGGGCACGAGCTGTGGACAGTCCTAAGTGAGCAAGCAGAGAGCTTCATTAGTCTTCAACTCAGAGCTTTCTCCTCACCTGGAGGACAGGACCTTCCTGTTTCCTGGTGGGTTGCTCCTGAGAAGAGTTGCACCTTATTTAAGAGATACATTGAGTCAGTGGGGAGGATGAAATCTTTTACTCCTGCTGGGCTTTGATATTGTCAACACCATTCCACAAGCCATCCTAATCTTTGGGTGTGTGTTACAATTTAGGAATTAACTTTCAAACACCAGTATGGCAAACTGTGTGTTTTATCTCCGGAGACTAAATGAAAGAGCCTCCAGGGGTCCATGTCCCCAGCTCAGGCACCCCACCTCTGGTTTTATCTGGTTCCCCAGCCCCTTGGCCTTTTACATTGTCTGGTGCCTGAGGCAGCTGTTATCTATGGCTTCAGCTTCTTGGTTCCAGCTGAGCCAGGCTTTCCAGCTTTCCAGGAGGGGGATCAAGTACCTGCCTCCTCACTCCCCCAGCTAGTCTCCAAATACTTGCTCTGGCTTTTTATCTCTTCATTACAGCGTGTGAATGCTATGCTGTTTTGGAAAACAAAACCCAAATAGGGAACTGAAGAGAGATGGGAGAGGCCAGTTTTGCTCAGTCTGTGTCTGGAGGCAGAGGACTAATACCACACTGAATATCAACTTCATCATCCTGCAGAAAAGATCTGAGTCTTGTTGCCTGCCCTGCCCCCTAGAGGACAGATGTGGAAACTCTTCACATGGAAATATTTCTAATCTCCAGGGAGTTCCTGCAGGGCCTCCACATTCCCTGTCCTTTGGACACTAGTTCCTGAAAGGATTTGGGGAATGTATAGGGGCTCATGTAGCTACAAGGCCTGTAAAACGTACTTCTGGTATTTGCTGCCTTAGTACCAAAGCTGCTGGACTTTCTGCAAGGCGTGGACAGCCTCCAAGAAGAGACTGGATGCCAGAAGCCATCATAGGGCATTGAATAATCACAATCTCTACTGTGGATCTACAGAACTAGCCAGCTTCTTTGTGTGGACAGACACAGTCCCTTCTTCTATTTTTCAGATCCCAGTTGCAGGCCTATCATATTCTGGTCCCTAATTGATTGTAAATCTGTTTGTGTATCATGGTCTGCACATACTGAACACATGGTTCTAGCATGCTGTCTCTCATATCGATAACACATCTGGGCCTTTGCACATGCTTTTCTCCCTATCAAAGACTAACCCTTCTTGACCAATGCCATTGTCTTCCTGTCCCCTGCTCTACCTCAACATAATCATCTCATCCTCTGTTACCCAGACTTCCCACTTGGAAGGCTGGCCTGACTCTTTCCTGCACGGACTTCAGGTAGAACTCTGGGTATTGGCCCATGCTTGCACTGAATCAGTGGAGCCACAATTCCTGTGGATTTGTTTTTCTTGCTTACCTGTGATCTTCTCAAGGACTGAGTCTGAACCTTTCTACCCCACATCCTAAGTCTTCATCTTGTGTCAGATGTGTACTGGATACTTAGGCATTGTTTGCAGGAGGGTGATTGTAAATGAAAGGATAAAACAATAGACAAAAGAATTTTGAAACTTTTTTTTTTAGTTCTAACTTTGGAGGTTGGTTAAAAAAACTAAGGGAGACTTGAGAAGCAATTTGATTCTCAAGCTGGGACTACAACTGGTAGTCTGTAGCCATGGTTACTGGAGCTCCATAATTACCTACAGGCGCAGACCTATCTTTTGAGGAGTATGACCATTTATGTAGAGCTAGAGCCAGAATTTCCTATTGAGACCTGTCTGAAGGAACTAGGAAGACTTGCAGGGTAAGCTTGGCCACTCCTGCCTACCAGTCACAGCACAGGAGGACTCCAGCAAGCAGGTTTTCTGAGAGGGCAGGATCATAAGGAGTCCCAGAACAGATGTGTCCCAGTTTAGAAACCAGTTGCTCAAGGTGCTGACTCATAAACCTGCCCTTTCTGCTCTTTTGATTTCATCCCCTGCAGGCACTTTTGACAGAGTCTTTCACAGATTTATAGCCAGGAAACCCAGGTATTCCTCTGAAAAGAAGCACATCCAGCCAGCAGCTAAAAATCTAGCTAGAATCTAACAGGATAGACTTTATGATAGAAATAAGTCTGATACATAATAGTGTATATGTGTGTGTGTATGTGTGTGTGTGCATGTGTGTATGAATGCATTTATGTACAAATTCAAAAACAGACAGATAGATAGATAGATAGATATTGATTAACTCAGATTTTGAATCGATTGCTGTAAAAAATTCTTGTTGCTCTAATGAGTTCAGAGAACAAATTTAAATTTCAGGAGGTCTAGAATCTTAAAGATATGCTTTTGGAAGTATGATGTCTCCAGTCAGTAAATAAGACTGTAGCATCCTTTATATCTTTTGAAGACCAAAATTCTCCATATTTGGCCCCCGGTATTCATGAATTCCATCAGCCAAGGACCAAAGATATTCGGAGAACAAAAGTTATACATATAGTAGATACATACAGGGTCCCCACTGTGATATGTTCTCAAATAAAGAAAGCAGCTACTCATAAAGCAGTGACACAGAGTGACAGGTTCTGAGTAACCTAGAGACCATTTAAGGTACAGGATGAACTGTGTATGGTTTTATGAAAATATCACACTGTTTAGTAGAAGGGACTTAGAATCTATAAAGCTTCCGGAGCCAGTCCTCTCTGGCTGTGGAGTGATAACTGAATATACTCATATGTGCCAACGTGCATCTATCTTAGAGGATGGCGAGTCACGGGCAGGAGTTGTTCATGAGTCATATATTTCCAAAGGACAGTCTAGAACTTTAGAAATCACTGTGCTCTTTTAGGCTTTTAAGAACTAGTTTTATAGATGATGAATAGGCTCCTCTCTAATACCCAAACATGCTTATGACTGACCTAGCAGCAAAAGGATGCATTGGATATCGTTTAGTTGGCAGTGGCTCTGGGGTCAGAAAAGGACTTTTTTTTTCTATTCCCAGTGTAAAGGAAAGAAGTGGTTGGTGTTCCAAGCTCACAATCTGCATCTTTGGCAGCAAATAAGATGCAGACCTGATCTGTGAGATGAATCCATGAGGTCACAAGTGAAGGGCAGGAGTTGGGGGTAAAAACGGCAATGGTGAGACCAAGGCCAGAGTCAGGAGAACTAACAGCCAAAAAGTCTCAGGGCTGCTTGAAAGTCAATACATTTGGGACTTGGGAAGGTCATAGGTCCCATCGAAACCCATTCCTATGCCACTTGTATCTACACACACACACACACACACACACACACACACACATCACAAGATGAAGTGAGAGAGTTGGGGGGGAGTAAGGGAGAGGAAAATAGAGAGGGAAGAGGAGAGAGGGAAAGAGAGAAAATGATGTTTTTGTCCTAAGAACAAGAAGGCCAATAACAATAAATAACATTTTTGTAGAATGTAAAGATGTTCATCAAAATTGGTCAAATATTGATGACGCTGCAGATTTCCTGAAAACCACCTTAGGTCATTTTATCTCCTCTTTATACCCCACAGTGCAGTCAAGCCTCTTCAGCGGGTGTTTCACTTCTAATGAAGGTGATCAGATGTTCTGTTTGAAAACAGCCCAGGGCCCAGTAAGAGGCAGGGAGAGTGCCTTGATGCCCATTTACTTTGGTTAGGATTCAGTGCTGAGGACCTGTTGGTCCTCAACAGGACTTCTTCCATGTGGAAATGGCATTATCTTCACCTACTGGACTTCAAAGAGTGAGAGCAGCTAGCTTCTTGGTAAGCTAATCCGATTTATTTGGTTCTATCTTTCCCTTGGGATGGGTGTAAAAAAAGATATTTATGTATCTACATCTCACTGGGCCTGTTTCAGCTGCGGGGGGAGATGAGCCTTCAAGGCTGGCAGCTGGACATATTCCAGTGCACACTACCTGCTCACAGCGTGTTGCTGGGAAATAGAGGTTTAGATAGCCTGTCGGAAAGCTGAGAGGCTCTAACTGAGGGAGAGCAGTGTGGAGAAGATGAAGCTCAGCACCTTCAAAGGGCTTAAGAGATGGTCTGGAAGAAGTTCTGCTTCTCCATCTACAAAATGGAGTTAGTAATACCTGACAACTAAATTAACAAAGGAGTGATATGCAGTGATTGCGTGGTAACAGGCTGTTTTAACAACTGTTACTATGATTACCGTGTATTTTTTGAGTAGGTGTGGCAGAGCCAGGAGATTCAAACTTGTTCAAAACCACTTTGGGCGGACTTCTGACATCCTCATTTCTCTGATCAACAATCAGAGGTTCAGTTTTGTCACAGAATCAGCATAATAAATAGTGAAGTCTAGCTGAAAATTATTCACAAAGTGATGTGCACATGAAAATATGCAATAGATGTAAGCTAGTATACTCCTATTTTGGAATTGCATGTGCTTTGGTCCAACATGTCAGTTCTTCCTTGTCAGGCTTAAGCATGGATTTGGCCCAGCAGCTTCTGGAAGGATGTAGGTAGATGAACCTCTAAAATATGGTCCTTCTGACTCTTTCATGGGAAGTATTTACATCTTTGGAGAGAGATTTGTAGTGGTCCAGCCATAACTGAGCCTTCGTGACTAACAGCAAGGGGTTAGACTAAAGCCATGCCTACAAGCATAACCATGGCCATGGAGACCAATATGCTCACAGGTCCCAATTTTCTCAAAGAGCAAATGAGTCAGCTTTTTCTGGATGTTGAATTTTCTATAGCCCTGTCTGGGGAATAACTCCAAGTTGTTACCCTCCTGGTTACTATAGATGTCAAATAAGATATAAGTGAAACTGCATTCAGCTTAGAAAGTCAACTGAAATGCCATCTGTCAGTTGTTCTCATTCTTTACCTTCATCTGGGATAGCACCCACGAACTTGAATTTCTAGCAAGTTTGCAGGTGATGCTGATGGCACAGTCCTGGAAAGGCACACTGAGAACTGCGCCACAGGTGCAGAACTATGAACACATGAGGCGTGACTGTTGCAGTGTTGCTAATCGGCGGTGCTAATTGGCGGTGCTAATCAGTGATACATTGCTTCTACCAAGTATACAGGCATGAAATTTTGATTCAAGGTTGGAGGAGGGGCTTGAAGGAATTGGTAAAAAGATATTCTAGTAACCCTAGAATCTAAGGGATTCACAGTCCCTAAAACAACTTTACCCAAGCTGTGTACAAGTACTTTTATTATTCTTTGAACTTTGGGAATGAAGTCCCCTGAAGCAGAGCTTTGAACAGAAAAGAGCTGAGCCTGTAAGCCACTGAAGAAGAAGAAACCTTTGTGACCCCACGGGGTGAGCAACAATACCAACCAACCAGAGCTCCCCTGTTCTAAACCACCAGCCTGGGAGCACACAGGGAGGGACCCATGGCTCCAGCTGTATATGTAGGGGAGGAGAGACTTGTAGGGAATAGGAGGGAGAGGAGGTCCTTGGTACTGTGAAGGCTGCGTGCCCCAATGTGGAAAAATTTAAGGGCAGGGAAGTGGGAGTGGGTGGGAGGGTGGAGGTGCATCCTCATAGAAGCAAAAGGAGGGGGGATGGGATAGGGGGTTTCTGGGTGGGATGGAATGGGAAAGGGGATAATTTCTGAAATGTAAATAAAATATCCAATAAGAAAAGAAGAAGAAGAAATGCATTGTCAGCTGTGACTGAAAGATTCAGTTGTATTCTATGACTTCAAGAAAGAGGCCCTAGCCATTGTGCTAGGAAACTGCACTCTATGTCCTTTGCTGAGTCAAGCCAGCAGCTGGATGGATTCTGGGCTTCCCTCACAGACTCCATTTAATTCCCATGTTATGCCAACAGCCAGCATGCATGAGGGCAAGAGGGCTTCTGCCCTCTGTTGGGAACATGGAGAGAAGGAGAGAAGAGAGCAAGGCACTCAAGGGACAGACACCCAAGAATGGAAGACTGAACAGGGGATGTGAGTCTGCATTTGTCCCCAAGGTCTTTTGGTGATTATTTAATCCTGAGTAGCAGGGAGGCCGTTCTCTAGACTTTCGTATCTCTCACTTGCTACTCAAGAGGAAGTATGCTTCCGTGGTTCCTTGTGGTGAAGGGGGCTGGGCCTGCTGCTAATTATTCTTCTGAGGTTCAGCCCTCAGGCCTCCCCACCAGAGTTTATTTGTCTTGCTCCCTATGACAATCTGCTTGCCCTGGCTCCAGCTCACCCCCAGTCTTAGCTCTGGATTTCTATCTGCCTGAAAGGGTAGCCTCCAGAGACACAGAGTTGCTCTTTGTCCTGATCTGCACCAGCTTCTTCCTGGGTTCCAGCTTCCTTCTTCCAGTTTATGAAGAAACTTCATAACTTCAGGAGCCACTTTCTGAAGACAGTGATTATTAACCTTCTACTGCCTAGCCCTTAGCTCTTCTGTAGTGGCTTGCTCCCCATGGCCATTCCTTCACTGGCTCCTAGGCTATGTTAACTCCTGCTCCAAACCTTCTGCACATAAACCCCTATCCCAAGAAGGCTGGCTTCAAACTCCTGCAGAATCCCAGACCTGGTATTAATTCCCAGTATCCATTAAGATCAATGTAGCATTCTAGCATGCCCAATGACTAGAAAAGAATCTTTTCTAGATTGTCCCAGGGACTGGATACCTGGCTCTATCATTCTGAGACAGCTGTGGGTGAGTCTGTCATAAATACAAGTTATGGGGCCATCTATCTGTTCCTTTCAATACAGACAAATTACTTGTACATTTTACAAACTACATATAATACAGATCATTTCAGAAAGGGTGAGTTGTAGAGTATCAGGTGTATCTGTTCCCAAAACATTCCAAAGTCTATTTTATGGTTAGCCATAGAAATAACCAGTGCAACTGTAAAGATTGGGAGAACCAAGAAATTTATTTTAGGATATCATTGACAAGTAGCGGTCCCCATCACTTAGATTTAGGTACAGAGGTCACTGACTGTTCATCATTTCCCTCCATGTATGCATTCTACAAACATAGAATGAATTAGGACTTAAACATAAGACATGGCCCTTTCTTTCAATCAGCTTCTGGTTCAATGCAGGAATGTTATGTATCTAGAAAGGCAACAGTAGTATATGAAAATTCCACAGTCACTCATTAATTTCTGCAAGTTTTTTCTAAAACACTAAAAAAAGTGTGTGTGTGTGTGTGTGTGTGTGTGTGTTTTGTATGGTGTGTGTACAAGGTCCTAATTGTCTAGTTCTAATTGGCTACCCCTAGGCATGAAAAATAGACAAAAGAAAGGGAAATTGAGAAGCAGGTTTCATGGAGTTGAGGCATATTGGGGTAATGCGAGAGACCTAAGCTTTGTGAATAATTGATATTAAGTACAATATTCACAGCAAAGATGAACATGATATTTCACTGTATCAATGACAAAGGCAGGTCAGGCTTTAGGGAAGGAGCTTCAACTAGATAATATAATAGGACTTTTGGCACTGCTCGGGGCTTTTTGCTAGCTGGATTTCTTTCTGTCTCCAAGGCCACCCACCCAGTAATACATCAGAGTCAAAGAATCATTGAATTTTAGAGTTGGATGAAAAGTTGGCATGAAAAAATGGTTGAGAGTGAATGTTCTATTGAAACACAGTAAGTCTACAGCCAAGCAAAGAGCTAGACGCAAAGAATAGACAGCATTCATTACAGTCTCTTAGAGCACGGAGTCTGTTTGTTGGGTATGCTTCCTCTGAACTTTTAGTTTCAACTAGCAATCACCTTGAATGCAGTCTTAGTAGTCTAGCAGATTTAGCCTCTTCTTGGGGACCTTCTGTTGCTACTTTATTGAACTTTAATATCATTTATTTACAACATGCAGAATCTCTGATAAGGTGACCAAGATAGGGCGGGTCAAGAGATGGTTAAGTCACTGGACAGACCACTTAGGGTACAAAGAGAATGCTTTTTTGGGAATGTTGTCATGCCACAGAGAACATTCTTACCTCTGAAACATTGATCCTGCCCTCCTGGAACGAACATGTGGTGGGGTCATGTGTGCAGAGGTTACGGTACTTGCACCAATGGCAGCGGAAGGCGCTGTTAACACAAGACAGGCACCTGCAAGGAGGAGACAAGAGGGCCAGCCATATAGGCCTGTCACAAGGGAGGCCGTTAACCTTACATTTTCATCTACTCTTGGGAAGGTAAATTAGTGGACCACCTAGTACTGAGAATGTGGATTCTGCATCTGAGATGTTCCTGGGGCCTGAAACTTAGCAATAAACTGGGACAGCAGTGGGAATAATTTAACCTACAAAACAGTGGTGTGCTAGTTTATATTTTCAGGAATTTTGTGAGCTAGAATTTTACTCTAATGGACTGAAATTGACTATGGTTGGAGCATTTAAACCACGAAAGTTGGTAAATACTATGAATTAAGTTTCTAAAAGCCTAATTGCTGATAGTTAATGCCAGTATACTATGGGTTATCAGTCAGCACAGCTAGCTGAAAGGGCAGAGAGGCAGAGATCAGGCAGATCTGGTTCTATCTGGATTCTGCTGCCAGCACTGATGTCATCTTGAGTAAGTCACTCACTCTGTGCATTAACGTTTCTTCATCTGTCTGATACAACATTCCTGTGCAGTCCTCGGGGTTGTTTGACGGTGTGAGAGAATGTATGGGAAATGTTTTTTTTTTTTTTTCAAAAGAAGGTTAGATGTGATCATTATTTTCAAGCAGTTAAATCACCTATTATTTCAACAGCTTGAATAACATTTGACTATTAGCAATTTGGCTCACAGAGTTTGTGTTCCTGAGCTTGGCAAATTTACATTATTGAATGGTAACTTTGTCCCTGATCACTAGTGGCCCTAGCATGGAGAAATAGCCTATGCCTATGGCATATATGTTCTTCCCAGAAAGAACACATCTTTCTTTTTGGGCTCACCTGGAGGCTCTGTGTGTGTGTGCTAAATCTCTGTGATAGAAATGTCCTGAGAGTTCTGGTCTTCCTCCTCCTCAGCTTCTGTATGATAGCCTTTCAGAACTATACTGAGCTGTTATGAACAGAAATAAGTCTGCAATCTGGCGCCACCTGGTGGGGTTCTTATTAGTCTGGGTGGTAGGGGCTTCCATTCAGGGGTCTCAGGGGTAAGACCATGTATGAGGTAACTGGGTCCATCACACCCTAGAAAGGATTTTTCTCTAGCCATGCACACCCTGAGGTTAGTCATGTCTAAAATCACTTTCTTACTGAGATTGAGTCGATGTGATTTCATGTACTCCATCGCTAATAGATTTTTGATAATATATATGATTCAACAAGTAAAAAATGAATACAGTCTAGGCTAAAAGAAATGGTATTTGTTATATTCTAACCCGAGTCTTCTACTGTCTGATTTTGTCACCATTTGGAGCACTCACTGTCTAAGGGTCTCAGCTTACCATATTGAAAGGGGGGAACTGAACTTGATACTGTGACTTTTAGTAGAATGCCAGGAGTAGAGAAGGGTAAGATGATGCTGAGAAATAAAATAAAATCCTGGCTTTCAAGGAGACTTGTTTTTTGCTGTTAAAACCTGATGCCTGTGACAGCATCTTCCTTGACAGAAATACATCACTGAATGTGGTGACTTCACACTGGATTGCTATCTCACAAACAATAGATTCTGTTACCACTGTCTTAGATTATGAAGGTTGACAGGTCCTCCCTCCAAAAAGTGTGCAATTCCCAAGCTGGGTTATCTCAGGATTGAAATGTAATGGGTTAGTGGTCATTTTTATCTAGTTCTGTTTCAGTCTTCTTGCCCTGCTTTTGTTGCCTCTAACCACTTTCCACCTCTTGGTCCGGGTGCATCCTGCTCATAACATATATTAAGGAAGCATATGTTGCACACTGAAGTTAAAACCTTTCTGACTCTTCCAGGCCCTATCACTGGATATTGAGAAAGGCTGCTTTGTATGCCTGTCCTCCTTTGTGTGCAAAGCAAACTCCTTCACAACCCCACTGTCAGTCCCTGACTTCAAAGCCACTGCCAATTGACTGAAGTGAAGACCCCTTCTTACAGCTTCTAGGTCAGGGCCCTCTTTTTACCATCCTAGCTTCAGAATTGGGGATAGAGTGTACTAGGGTGGGGTCAAAGAAATGAAATTACGGGCTGTGGTGAGTGACTGCCATTCAAATGAACATGTGTCAGTCCTCCTAGAGAGACTTTAATGTGACTACTGTACAAGTCCTGCCCTAAAAGGAAGAAGTGAAACCCCATACCCACATCCAGACCCAGGCAAGGCTCCTGTGGAGGCATGCTTACAGTTGGTGGGCGCTGCAGTTGTAGAACTTGAATTCAGTGCTGACAAAGATCTTTCCTGTCTCTTTGGATCTCAGCTGCAGCTCTAGGCCAAACCAGTCTGCAAGAGAAGATAGAGTGAGTGAACACTCTGGAGCCTAGTGAATACCCTGAGGGGAAGGCCATGTCATAGAGCCACCTATGAGTACAAATGGCAGACAAAGCCTGCTTGAACCTGTTTTGCCCCCAGAGAATCTCAGTCTGTACCCCAGTAACAGATTTCATGAGTCCCTTGACTTAGTTAGGCATGATCCATTCCTGAAAGAATTTCAGAATATTAGCTCAAGAATCGTTCAAAGCAAGTTCTGTGGAGAGAGCTCCAAGCAATCTGTTGCCCAAATCCCACCTTCCTGTTTCTAGAAAGGACAGTCAGTGGGCACAGTGCACATTATGCATTCTCAGCCCAGGAGGAATGAACATGTCCCTCCTTTAATATCATTTTGGGCATAGCAGTGTGCTTTCAAACTCAAACAAGTTGCATAAGCCAATATTAGCATCTGATACTGGTCAGGTAGCTTCATGCCTATATTGTGACCCCTAAGCTCACTATGGAACCCATGGCTCTGTTGACATAGTCCTTACCTTGATCCAGAGGAATGACAGGGACATCCTTGGGTCCAGGTGAGATGCAGATGACTTGACTCCCAGACACCTGCCCCTCCACCTCAGTCAGGTTCCCAAAGGCACAGGCGATACCCTCCGAGAGGTTGGGAGCATCATTCACAACCAGGCTGAGCTGTGGGAGAAGCAAGAGCTCAAGAGAACCAGGCACCGGGCAAGGTTCCCTGTCAGGACCTATTGCTCAGGGACCTCCTTGATCTCATCTATAAAAGAAGGGCTCTAGTCTAGTGATCTTCCATCTCTGACACTAAGCAATTAGAAAAACAAGTGGTTGTGTGTTGTATGGGGTCAGTAGTCTTCATAAAGATTATTATTGTTACTACTTCAATCTTGTCCAGCATCGGAAAGCACTTGATGTTCAACGAAGTTAGGGGATTTGTATCAACATTCATCTCAGATCCTGCTCTGTGTGACTTGGACATTAGTTGCAATGCACAGGTAGACCTGCAAGTGAGTCATAAGCTTAGGACTTTACCACAGGTCTTAGCTTGAGCTCCTGGGAGTGTAAGCTTCACCAGGGTGGAAGCTGGCCAGGTATGGAGCTAGGCTGGTAGAAGAAAGTAGATCCTTGCCCTAGTTACCACTCATCTATTTATTTGGAAACTGTGTGCCCCAGAGCTTCTGTTCCTCTCTTCTCTCTGGGCCTTCTACTTTCCAGCAGTGCCCTGGTGTGGGGCAGGAGGCTCACAAGACGCTCAGGGAATCAGAGAAGGTTCACTGATGGCTACATAATACCTACTACCCAAGGACTGCAGTCTAGAAGAGCAGTCTCCCGCGTCTCTAAGTTTGCAGAGATTCATTGCGGTGGTAAAATAGAGACTTTCAGAATTTGGAAACTGTTGTTTTGAACTCAAATCCCTTTTCAATTAGTTTGTCCTCAGCTCTCACAAAAGGCACAGCATCCCTGATTGTTTCCTTAGCATCACTGTAGCCAAAACCTCTTGGTGGGGGTATGAATGAACGGGAAGGTTCATTAGCTAATTAACATTCATGAAGCTCATAAAAGCTTCACAATGAAAATGCAGTTATGGCCTAAGGACATGGAATATTTTGAGTTGTACCTTGACAGGTGGTTATTTTATTATGTTTAATATCCTTTTTAAGCCTCCACTTTGAATGAGTCTCAGTCTTCTTTTAATCTCTCTTCTGCCTCTGCCAAGCACAGTGGCAAGCTAAGGCTTTCTTGAATAATTAACAAACAGGAGACTGAACTCATACCATGTCCTAAGAATGTGCTGTTAAGTATTGTATAGGTTTGTGTGTGTGTGTGTGTGTGTAACTAAATGTAAAATTCAGATTTACAAAACAGATCTGTGGATAATAAATTTGCAGAATGTGGTGACTATACTCTTTAAAACAGGAGTTACCAAAGGCATGTGTGTGTGTGTGTGTGTGTGTGTGTGTGTGTGTGTGTGATATTAGCACTGAAATCCTGATCAGTACATGCAAGTATTAAAGAAGTGTGTTCTGTGCTCCAGTCGTGCCTGATGCATACTCACCAGCCGGCTGTGATCTGACACAGAGATACTGTTGGGGTGCACCTCAAGGCTCATGCACTGGGTGATACTGGCAGCGAATCGATTTGCTTCCCAGGCCCGTTGGCATTTGTCCCTTCGGGAGCACCTACATGAACACAGATTCATAAGAGCTCATGGCTTCTCTGTCCCTGGGTAAGCATGTGTTGCTGCTCCTTGTGAAGATTTTCACTGTATTCTCAGTTGTTCACTGTCACATGAAGCTAAAGTTATTTCACAGAAAGGGATATAAACTCCAAACCAAGATGCTGGTTAGGTATAAAGAACATCATGCTAGTACTGTCAAATACTCAAGTAAGAAATTTGGGGTGCTTGAGAAGGAGGGCTATGAAGGTGAACCTAGCTAGAGTGTTAATCTCTAATACAGGGCTTCTTACTTACTAGCTGGGTCCCACTGGTCAAGTTACTTAATCTTTCTCTTTTCTGTTTTCTCATCCTTAAATTAGCAAGGATGATGATAATACCCTACCTTGTAAGGCTACTCTCAGCGTAAAGTGTAGTAGTCCTCAGAATGCAGCCTGGCATTGAGTAGATGTATCCCCATGCTAGCCCTTGTGATACTGAAATTAATAATAATGATTAATAACATTATCAATTCCCCCCCAAAGGTGTTAACAAGCAAGGGTCTTTGTTGTAAGGATGCATACGATCTTTGGCTGGATTAATAGTTCTCTAAAGGAAGAGGCTGTGTTTTATTCAATGAGACATTCTACCTGTCACAGGTTATATTTTAAATAAATCTCTGTGTCATGAAATAATGCCTTAAGCCGAAGAGACAGATGAAACAGGTGTCCAGGGTTGCCTGTGTCAGAAAGCCCACATGGCCTTTTCTCCTGAAATCATCTCCGGCCTCCAGCTCTTCACGCTGTGGTGGCAGGTAGGTGAGGTGTTGCCTGAACTCAGAAGCTTGGGACTGCTACCTGCTGTGTCTTATGTGACAGGCTCAGAGCCTGTGTAGCTCTAAACCAAATAGCTACAGGGCACAGTACTACTGTAGCCCACAGTCCAGCAGTACTTCCTACTCTGAGTCCCCAGCTCCTCCCCTCTTCCCTTCCAAGAACATAATGGATTCAAATATGAGTGCTGTCAGAGGAAGAATTATGGAGGTTTAAGTGAATCCTTACGACGGCTTTAAAGTGAGCTCTTGACTAGAGCCTTTATCTCATTGACTAACTGAAATGGCTCTTTTTGAAAAAAAAAACATCCTATTTATGGCAACAACCCTAACAGAGATAAATAGTCTGTGAGACAGTAACACACTTGTCGGGGCAAATCATACAGAAGCTACAGGAGTGTTTCAAATCCCACGAGACACAGAGGTTCTGCTATCAGCCCTCTGCCTCAATCCCCTGCTGCTTTAGAACAGGCTGGTTTTCAGTCCTGAGGTTGAAGTTCCTGGGTCCTCACTGTCCTGCTAGCTGGGCAGTCTTGGGGGTAGGTGGGAGAAGCGTAGAAGTGGGTCTGCTGAAGACGAATGCCAGGTAATGAGAAACCCAGATATAAAGGTGCAGTTCCTGTCCCCAGGCAAGCTTGCAAGGCTGTTAGGTGTGTACCCAGGGAGGTGGAGAAGATTTCCTGAAGCCAAGAGAGGAGCTCAGTGGGCAGAGGAAATCTAGGCTATCTTGATGGAGTTCCGTCCTTCTAGAAGACACAGCTGACCTGGAACTGGAGAAGGATGGGGTGCTCTAGGGTAGTTGAGAGATGGGTGTCATTACTGATCCAATAATAGATGCTGAAAAAGCTGGAGAAAATAAACAGTAACTCCAATCTGTAATTTTACTTCGTCCTTTCTGTATATGCAGAGTGTACCAGACACTGAAGCCTGGAGAGAAAGGCAGGGAGGGAGGATGGGGCAGGGTGTATGTAGATGGGACAGGTGAGTAACTACAGTGTGAAGGCCTAAAGTCGGGGACATTCCCATGTAGTGAACCATCAAATTCTCAGAGAAAGCGTCTGCAGATTCTTGGGTCAGGCGTACTGAAACGTTGACAAATTTACCAGCTTTTCCATTCCTGGAGCAGAGTTGCTGGTTCTGGCATCTTCACCCCATGACTAACTTATATGGAAACTTACTGTGTAGGTTTTGTTGAGACCACTTTTGTAAAACTTCTTGAGAAGTCTCTTACCTCCCAACACCCAAGCAGGGACTCAATCCTTTGTTAGTGGGCTTAAATCCAGTCCAGATTTTGCATCTGTGAAGCCTCCCTCCCTCCCTCCCTCCAGAGCCCTCCCAACACCTGCTGCAGAGGCTGAAAGCCAAGAGCTATTGTGCAGGACCCTGAACTCTGGCCCTCTGCCTCCGCCTCCACCCCAAACCCGGCACATTTCATAGAAAGGCTTTGCTTGCTGGCATGGCGCCATGGAGTTTCCAACACTATTGGGCAACAGAATCTCTAGCCAGGCTCCTGTTTTAGGGCTTTCACCCTTTTTCTCTTCCTCTGGGGCTCCTCGAATTAGGAAGTTTAAGTGTGATTTTGCATTTCTATTGAGCTGTTGTTCAATGGTGGGGATGTGTTTGAATAGGGATATGTGGCCAGTTGGATGTAGTGCAGACTTCTTGGAATCACGAAATAATGAGGCCAGAAGGGTCCTCCCAAGGGTACAGAGACCTTAATAATTATTTTGATTTGTGTTGCCTCTTCTTTGTTTCCAAAGCACTTATTATTTCATTTCAGTTTCACAATTCACCTGTGAAATAGGCAAACGCGAAATGGAGACCCAGAGTTGTCAGGAGACCCACCTAGGGTCACACAGCAGCAAGCTGGAAGGGAAATTCCAAGTTCTGGTATCCTACCATCTGGTCTTAGCCCTTTGTCCAGACAATTTGAGAAGAGGCTTTTGGAAACTGAAGGATTCTACAGCTGCCCTGTGACTTTTCACAGTCATCTGAGAACATAGTCATGCGATTTTAAAGTAGCTGAGATGAGCAAAGGACTGCATGCAGGAAGCAAACCCTGGGGCCTCTCCCTGTCTTCCACCATTGTGTCTCATTTATAATCTCTACTGTTCAAGAAAGAAATTCCTTTACTGCCCAGTCCACCACACCAGGAAACCCCCAGTCTTCTGCATGCTAGCACCACCTCTGAACACCACGAACTTACATGTTGTGCAGGGCACACCAGCCACAGTGAGGATCCCCTGAGCTTAGACACTCTCCGCAAGTTGTATACTGTTCACATGATTCAACAGGGACCCTGGTGACCTGGCAGAGAGCGGAGAAAGAGCATGGGAAGGTCATGCTGTAACAACTTGAAGAGGCGTTTCAAAATTCTCTCCTTTATTCCCCCTAAGGTATTTCCATCTCATTGTGGGCACGTCAGAAGAGGTTCACCCTAAACAGAAAGTATCTGAATGGGAGCTCCAGACTCTTTGATATTACCAAGGGTAGAAAGAAAATCCTCCAGCCTACTGCTTCTTTCTGTCAGTGTCTTTTTGAGAGCCTGGCTAGTGTTGAAAATGGTTAATTCTGCTAAAAGGCTATTGAGTGGCACAAACTCATCTCTGAAGAGCTTTCAGCTGGGCTTGGGCTGAGACATCCTTCCTGTACAGCACACATGGGTTGGGGGGAGAAACTTTTCCCATCAAATAATATTCATAGCCAACCAAGTGTACCACCTGGATCCAATTATCCTATTCTCTGATGTCTGCATTCAGTTTCTCTAGTAAATCTCCCATTCTTTGGAAAGTCTGGCAAAATGGGAATCTCCACAGAGAAGAGTTGCCTGTTTGATTCTGCTTTGCCTGGTTAGTGGGAATTTGCAGATCAAGCCCTCCCCCTCCTGCAAACCCCCAAAAGCCCAGCTTTTGAAACCCCTCCTGGTTTTCTGGAGGAGCCTGGCAAGCGCCTGAGTAGGGTGTGTGTGGCCCCCACTCTCCTGCACCTGCCCAGCACATGTGACAACAAAGGCCAGGCAAAAGGGGTAGAGGATTGGAGTTTTCCATTTGACATATCTTAGGTGTCTGTTGCTGATTGGGTAAGAGGTTTCTGAGTTGCAAAAATACATGCTGGGTTGGAAATACAAACTCATTTGCTAGGCCATAGAGGACTGTCACCTACTAGAAGTGTGAGCCCAGGAGAAAACATGACCTGCAGCCCAGTGACAATGTTCTGCCACTGGCAGGGGAATAAAGATACAAAGGGAATATGTTCACAAAATCCTTTCTGGAGGATTAGCATGGATCCTAACATGGTAAACATGGGGAAAGTTTATTGAATGTCAGCTCTGTGGCAGCCTTGATGCTCAGCTATAGAGAAGCCACAGCAAATGGCACAGATTCAGACAGCACAAAGTCCAACAGTTCACAGGAGTCAGCGGTCCCCAACTGAGATTTGCTCTATATGTTGCTCAGTATTGGAGCTTAGGATTGGTGTGAGCACTAGGTGATGTGGGACCTCAGGAGAAGGACATTCAAGCTAATCTGTCAAGAAGACAGAGATAGAGATTAAGGGCAAGTCTTCAAGGATGAGAACATATTCAGCTGAACATGCTGGTACATGTCTGGAATTCGAGCACTTGAGTTTGAATAGGGGCTGAGGTAGGTGTATTCTACATAAGTTACCTAGCTTGTGCTACATAGTAATTCCAGGCCAATCTGGGCTACAGAGTAAAACTCAGTCTTATAAAAAGAATAGAAATAGAAGGGGAAAAAGGGAAGGAGGGGGAAGATGAGAAGGATGAAGAGGATGAAGAAGAGAAGAGTCACCAGATGGAGAGACCCACAAGACTTTCCAAGATGAAGGATTATCATGGGCAAAAGTCACAGATAAATTCATCCTAACTTGAGCTTGTAGGCTGGGAGAAGCAGTAAGTCATTCTAGACCTACCCACTCGTAGTACAACATATCACTTAATAAAACTGAGTGACAGCCATCAGCCATGCTAGGTCTTAAAAGCCAAACCTCCTTGATAAGGAAATAAGATGTATGGAAAGTAAGTATAAAATCTGGAAAATGGTTTAAAAAGTAGATATCTCAAGGGTAGGTTGGTGGGTCATTGGTTTAAAAACCTCAAGCATAACATATCTGAGGGTTTGAGCTGATTGTAGATCAGTCCAATATGAGTATCAGGGTGATGTATTAGAGAAAGAGGCTAAGGATATTATGGACCACCAAAACAGACTTACAGTAGCAGACGAGAGCTTGAGATAAGAAATTCAGGATGGTCTGATCTGCAATGGTCACTTTGTTCAAAATACTCATCATGGGGATGAGTGGCAAGCAGTGTGACATTCCCCTGGCGGCCATGAAAGGGAATGTAGGCCTGAAAGGAGACTGTGGTCCCTTTACAACTCAGTTATCCAAAAATTTTATCTGTGTTTACTCATATTTCCTTTAGACAATTTCTTTAAAACATTTTTACCTTGTGTGTTTGTGTATGTGTATATAGTATATAAGTGCATATGTTATATACCTATATGCATATATATATATATATGTGTATATGGTATACATGTACATATGAGATACACACACACACACACACATATATATATATAATTATATATATATATGCATATATATACATATATATGTGTGTGTGTGTGTGTATGTGTGTATGGTATACATGTATATATGAGATACACACACACATATGTGTGTGTGTGTGTGTGTGTGTGTGTGTGTGTGTGTGTGTGTGTGTGTAAATGCAGACATGTATTTGCCATAGTGCACATGTGGTCAGAAGGCAATTTCAGGTCAGTCTTTGCCTCCTACCTACTGCAACTGCTCTTGTTATTCACGAAGACATACAGCAATCTAGCTGGCCTGCGGATTTCCAGGGTTTCTCCTGGAATCCCCCTCCCTTTCCCCAGAATCCTGCTGTAGTAGCACTGGGATTCTAAACCATGTTACCAAGCCCAGCTTTACGTGGATTCTAGGAATCTGATCTCAGATCCTCGCTCCTGCTTGTGCAGTAAATGCTCTTCCTACAGAGCTTTCCAGCTCAAGACTTGCACATCTGACAGATGAAAGAAAACATCCAGTTATCACTACCAAAGAAAAATCCTTGAAATCTCCTCACAGTTGGCAACACCTACAAGACACACCTTTCTGACAGATGCCTCCTAGAGAAATGGGTGCCAAGCCCAGGCCTCATGATTCTAAATCTCTCAGGATATCTAGGACTCCAACACCCAATAGGTTTCTGTTGGCCTCCCCCGTCTACTCTGTAAGGCCTAAGAGCAGCCGTCCAGCGCCCATTCCCTTTCTGGGGTTTTGGGCTCCTTGTGAGTGATGTCTGCATCTGGCTGGAAATTAAAACAACTGTCTGCATTGCATTCGGCCCGTCTGTCAAAACACAGCCCAGCTCTCAGCAGCTGGGAATGGGGGCCTTGAATGAAAGCAGTGTCTCCAGCAACAAAGCCCACTTTCATGCCAAGTGCCATGGAGATAGTGAAACCCTGTTCTTCTCCAAACATGAAACCAACAGCACAACTATTTTTCCTGTTTCCTGGGCCCTCCTGGTGTGACTTTTTTTTTTTTTAAAGGCAGAGTAGAGTGAAACAGGAAACTTAGAAGGAGGGAGGGCTTGAGAACTTGCATTATTCTTTATGATCTACGAGCTAGGCACAAATCAGAGCGACAGCTGCCACAGAGACTGGGAGAAGACCCTTACAGTAGGAAGCTCCCGTGGACCTGCCCTGTGTATACTGTCACATAACTTTAGTTTTATCCATTAGCTAGTGCTTCTGGTCTGGTGGTCCATAAAGGCTAGTAGTACACACTTCAGAAGAATAAAAACAAACAAACAAGCAACCAGCATTAAAACACAGCTATTACTTCAAGCTGTCCACAAGCTAGCAGAAGACCAAAGTGCAGTATTCTAGTGGTAATGTGAAAAAAATGGCAGAGAGGATTCTGAGAAAGGAAAGACGGTGGCGTCTTCTTTCTCTAATATGATCATCACCAGCCCTATGTGCCTGCTGAATATTTGAGAATGCTAGTCCAAACTGAGGTGTGCTATAAATAACCAATGTATACGGATCCTGAAGATTTGGTAAAGGAAAAGAAAAAAAGCAAACATCACACTATCAATTTGATATTGACATCTCCCAAAGTTAATTAGCATATATTAGATTAAATGAGTTCTTTTACTGTTTGAAATGTAGCTACTAGGAGAGTGGCAACCAAGCCTGCAGCTTCTGTCTGGGGCCAACATTTGGTTTGTCTGCCTGTGCAACCAGGAGGATTTTGTATAAGTCTGGCATGGCCTGGGCCCTTCAGGATGAATATCTTTCTATACTTCAGGGGGATAGACCCACACCCCAGGAAAGCAGAGTCTCTTAGGAGCCAGTATGAGGACAAGGTGGCAAGGTATGAGTTAGAAATGTGGGCTGGGCTTGGGTTTCCTTGGGAAGGCTAGGGAAGGCCAGAGGAGCTAGAGTGCAGAAAGTCGCTGAACTCCTTAGCCTGTTATTCACAGGTCAAAAGAATATCTTCTAGAACTAGGGTCTACCAAGGAGCTGTGCCTCTCAGTGCACAGGCCTTGAGCTACGGCCACCTTTATCACCGTAAGGTTAGACAACAAAGTCCAGGTCTGCTCATTTCAGACTGTCATGTCTCCGGTTAGTTTGTAGGTGTGCTGACGTTTAGGAGCCTCTGGCACCGCTGACTTAAGCTTCTTAGGACATTTTAAATGGCAAGTCTTGGGGTCAGGAAAAACCTGAACCAGACTGCCCTTAGGCTGTGGGAGGAAGTAATGTTTTAAGAGCCCGGATGCGAACTAAAGAACTCTGGAGACTTCTTCAAACCCAAGGAGAAATGGGCTTCCTCCAATAGATTTTAAGTTTTATTTTAATTCGTTTTTTGAGACAAAGTCTTTCTAGGTAGCTTAGGCAGGCTCTGAAATCTCCTTCCTCCTGCCTTTATGTACCCTCATAACTTGCTTGAGAAAGTAGGTTCTTTTAAGTCCTAGTCCCCTGAATCTTCAAGTAACCAAGTTCAAACCTGAGAAGTTTAGGGCAGACCTGTGTGGAGCAATAGTCTTGCCTCAGGCCTCAGTAGAATGGGTATTTTTTTTTCTCCAAAGTGGGCATGATACATTGGGGGCAGGGCTTTTCCAGGACTGATTCAGAGTTTAATGGGACACTCCTTGATTCTTTAGTCAGTGTTTGGCTATTATTTCATCTTAACTAGGCTAAAGTCCCTCTAGTGAGCACTGTGATCTCAGATTCCTGGATTGGCTTAGGAGCTCTGAGATGAAT